GGTCTGTTTTATATATATATATATATATATATATATATATATATATATTAGTGAATGTACATGTTTTATCATATCCATATATCTATCTATCTATCTATCTATCTATCTATCTATCTATCTATCTAGAGAGAGAGAGAGAGAGAGAGAGAGAGTGAGAGAGAGAGAGAGATAGTAAGAGGGGGAGAGAGAAGCGAGCGTAGGTTATTGGTGCGACAAGTGGGATCAATTTGCAGTGTTCACTGCGTTCGCTTTCGCACAAATACGATTAAAAAGATTTGCAGCCGTTTTTTCCATATCGTATCGATTAAATAGCAGGCAATAAATGCCTTCTATAGGCATGGTGGGCAACCAGTCAATGAGAATGACAAACTCAGTATTCAAAACCGGTTGGGTTTGGGGCTGGCAATTCCACTCTATAAAATCCAACTACTGCAGAACAGTTCCTAGTGTGGGAACCTGTGGCCTTATTCCCCACAGGAAAATGACACAAAGCTGGACGATATATATATATATATATATATATATATATATATATATATATATATATATATATATGTATTATGTAATTTTTTCGTAACGTCTGATAAGTTTAATAACATTATCGTTGAACGAAGAAAGTCCATATATTGCTTAATATGTTGTAATTGACATCTTTGGTAATGCTTAAGTAAGCCGAAAGCTTAGATAGTATTAAAAAAAATATGGACCAATATTGTGAATGTATATATAATGGCTCGTTAATCGCTTCCGAGTAAATTCGTCTACCACCGCGGTTAGCCACACCCAATTAGAGACGGACGCCTGCTCAACCAATAAAGTTTTCCTGTGGTTTATGCTGCAACTATTCTGAGCAGACCTTAGTTACAGTTTCTGGGATAGAGTGCATAGTCTGGCGTGATCATTTAAAAAAAAAAAATACAGCACACCTAAACCCTCGGTCACGATGACTTGTGACTTCGAGGTATAGTTTTCAGGCACTTACTTATATATTTATTATGCCTGATATATATAACATATATATATATATCTTATTATATGTTTCTTATGCATGAAGAAAAAGTTATTATTTCATCCAACAGGACAAAATGTTCAATAAAACGTCTCTCCGTGTATAGATAAAAGGAAAATACCTGTTTTAGTAACTATCGCCTGAATAAATGATCATTGAATTGCCCATATTTGCATGTGAAACTGACAGTCGCGCTGATATTTCTTCTCAAGTCCGTTTTTACTATTACAATAGCACTGTCTATCTCACAATACTTATTATTTCAAATTATCCATCTATCTATCTATCTATCTATCTATCTATCTATCTATCTATCTATCTGTTGCGAGTGTGATACTTCTACGTCATTATAAATATATAATACATACAGACTTGTAAAACTGTAAATAATATTGTTATTAAACTAATAATAATAAGGCTAAATATGTTGATACACTTACAATAATTGAGAAGCATATATACTTCATATATATACTTATAGATATACTTATATATGTACTTATACAAGGGAAACAATAACATTACTAATGATAATGATGGTGATCATTATTTAAATGCTTAAATCGCGAAGATAATTATTGCTTTTATCATAGAAAAAGTTAAATTTAATTTTTTTTCTTCTTTTTGAAGTGTCTTTATATATGTATATATGTATGTGTGTGTGTGTTTGTGTGTATTTGTTAGTATGTATTTGTGCGTGTTTGTGTGTGCGTGTGTTTAGCATTTGATAATTGGTCAGTGCATTTCTGTTCGCCAAGTCACGCGGTGCTGGGTCACATTCATTTCCTGTTTAGGAACTGGTGTCACCAGTGACCAATATAGGCCGGGGTCACTACGATACATACAAGCCATGCAACAACAAACATACGTTCACAAACATCCAGCCTTTCTTTCTCACACGCAGAACCTAACACATACGCATTAAAGTGACAAACAAGAATCAGGCACATACATTGATACACATGTATTCAGTTGTAGATGCACACGTGTACACATAAAACTTACAACCCGAGACGCACCTCAACAAACGTATGCAACCAACTGCACACACCGAAACATAAACTGTTCAGGGAATAACATACACCAAGTTAGATGAAATCACAAGTGTACATAAATGAAAATATATGAAGATTTAGTTAAGATGGTTTGTTGTGATAAAAATGAACTTGAACAAAAATCATTATGGTGAATATACGAAGAAAACATTTTCTTAACTAGGCTATTATCGTTTTATGAAAGCCAACTCCTTTTCTTTCTTTTTATGTGCCATGTCCTTTCAGGACGTAGGCGATCATGGCTCTCCACATCCTTCTATCCTTTGCAGCTCTATACAAGTTCCTCCCCTCTGCTACTTTCCCCCCAGACCACGTTCTGTCATCCACGACTGCAATTGTGTAGCGATTTTGACATGTTTTTTGATGTAATATCCTAAAATAAAGTATATATATATATATATATATATATATATATATTAAATTATATATAAATAAATATGTATATATATATAAATTATATATATATAAATTATATATATATGAATTATATATATATATATATAAATTATAGATATATAAATTATCTATATATATATATATATATATATATATATATATATATATATATATATAAATTATATATATATAAATTATATATATATATAAAATATATATATATATATATGAATTATATATATATGAATTATATATGTATAAATATATATATATAAATTATATATATATATAAATATATATATTTATATAAATTATATATATATATATATATATAAATTATTTATATATATATAATTTTATATATATATATAAATTATATATGTATAATTATATATATATAATTTATATATATATATTTCATATATATATAAATATATATAAATTATATATATATAAATTATATATATATATAATTTATATATGTATATATAATTTATATATATATATATATATGTCATTTATATATAAATGTTATATATGTTATATTAGTTATAATATAACATTTATTATAACATATATAACATACAATTATTATGATATTTGCAAAAGTAGATGAAATCATATCTGTGCAGAAATAAAAATATACGAATATATAGCAAAGATATTTTGTTTATATCAATGATAACAAATAAGGTATATAATCACAACTCACAGATAGAAGCTGTTGCAGATCCAACTGATATTTATTTTCTACGATATATGCGTCGGTAAATTAAGAATTCTGTTGCATAGGAATTAAAAAAAAAACAACAAGCATTTTTAGACATGAAATATTTATTTTTAGCTTAATAACTTTCCATGTCACTGCACTCAATACAATGGTTAACATAACCCTATAGCACGAATTTCATTCAATGATGAAAATTCGGCTAGCAACTAACTTTCAGGCTACGGAGCATACGGCTATATCCCGTTGAAACGTCCGTCCTTATCCGATCACTGACGTTAAGCAACGGTGAGCCTGGTCAGTACCTAGATAGGTGACCGTTTGGGAATACCAGATGCTGTAAGTTTGAATGTGTGATTGGTGTAATGGATAACGGCACGGAATGAGAAATCGTGTTTTCTGAGTACCAATTTCAGCCGGGTTACGTTATTTTCACTTACATGCAAATACCCTTTGTAAAGCTATGAATCCATCTCTTCTGTCGCCAGCTATGGGTTACACAGTAGAAATTGTATGAGAAAATCATTATTATTTCTAAAATATTCTTACAATCCAAAAATATGTTCTGGCTTTAAATAACCTGAAAAAGGGTGAGGAGCCGTAAAAAAAACAAGCCAATCAAACAATTCAGGATACGGACTTTAATCCATCCTAGTATATGAATTGCTACTACGACCTCGGGTATCTTAATGTGCAATATTCTTTACTCAAAGAAAGAAAAATTGATAGAAAACTAATTAATGAGCTGTGTAAGAAATATGCAGCGAAAGACAGGAAATGATAGGTGGCATGAAAGACGAACATCTTTATCAATCTCTTAAAATTATCCTCGCATTTGGGTAGCATCTCATATTTGATGGCTACTTGTAGCTTAATGGTAAGGTGTGCATGGCTTGAAAGTGTTTTTTTCGATTAAATGCAGGTTTGGTTCATATCGAGAGACACATTATATATGTCAATATGTCAATGATATTGACCGCTTTCCAATAAGTACCGCATATATATAATATATAAATAATATATATAAAAAATTGAGTATATATATGTATATTTTTTATATATATATATATATATATATATATATATATATATATATATATATATATATATATATATATATATATATACATACACATTATATATATATATATATATATATATACACACATACATATATATATATGGAGTGGTAGAGAGAGAGAGAGCGAGAGAAAGAGAGAGAGAGTGCCTGAAGAGTGCATTAAAGCATGAAACAGACTGTCGTGAATCGGTGTTAAATTTGAACTTTGTATTCACACAGCTTATATTTACATATGCTGTATTCCCGTATATTAAGTCCGTTTACCCTATAAATATAACTTAGACTTGGTACCTCCACTAATTCGTCGAAAAAAGACCATATCATAATGAAAAAGATGCCCCAAACTTGATAAAACCAGAGTTTGAACGTCAAACTCTTCATAATTATTATTAAGAGGAAAGACCAAAGGATTTTGATTTTTTAATTAAATTTTTTAATCCTTTCTAGCAAGTTTGAGATTTTGATTAAAAATCATGTTTTCTTGCGTTAGCGGGAGGAACCAATAATTGACAGAAGAATTTTTAGTGTCTTTTTTTTGCAATAAAAACATTGATTTGGAAATTCTAGTATCAAATAACTGTCGGATTTTAAAGAATCTTTCCGGACATTCACAAATGAATGAATTTTTTTTTTTTTAGAAAATCTTGGTAATTATACATCTGTTACTTTCCCCACTGTCACTTATATAATTTTATGAGATTTCGAGAAATTAAATTTTCATCAAATTTTCATTTATATTAGTTAAAATCAGTACTTCTTGGCGAATTTAAATAATCACTTTTCTTGTAAAACAGAAACACCAGTCACTAAAAATTCAATAAAATTAAGATATTATTTAACTAGAAAACCTCTAAGTTGCTTTTATAAATAAGATATATTAAGGACTCTATTATCTTAAGAAAAAAATTTTTCAATGGATAATGAATTTTTACAAGAACTGTTTTCCGGTTTTTAAAAATTTTAATTAGAATAATTTATTAAGTTTTAAATCTTTTAAAATTTTGTATTAATTTCACCCTTTTAGATGATATTATTATCAAGTAAAACTATACTTACTAATCCTAAATGAAAACGCTTAGTACAAATCATCAAACACCAATATTTTAAAAAGAATTTTGAATTTTTTCTGTGTATAAAAGTGCCGATTTTTGAAGATACGGACGTCCATACACAACATTATCAGAAAATGAGATAAGTATAGTAAATTAAAAGCAAAAGTATCTAAAATTCACAAAAAATATTAGATTACAGAAAATATTTTCCTAAATTTTTAAGATTACTAAGTACTTAAAAATTATATATAAACGGCGCTCACGTTATATTATTCAATTATTTTTACAAAAAAAACCCCGTTTAGAACAATATTAGATAAACATCGATCTGTCATCAAGTTTTCAATACGTTAACAGCTTAAATAGATAGCTACCACCGCGTCAAAAAAATGCATTTCTGTGATATTTTAAACTTAAAGTTAATAATTTCGTTTCGAATCATATTTATTATACTTTAAATCAGCTAATAGTTATCAAATGGAGTTTCAGAAAGTATATTTTATTTTTAGAGCAATTTTTAGTAAAGAGAAATACATTGCGATAAACAACGTCATAAATTAGTGACGACGTCAGATCTTTAGCAAAAAAGAAAAAAAAAAACGACCTGAGTTAATTTAAATTAGTTTTGAAATAGATCAAAGTATTTTTGCTTATTAGAAATATGAAATCTAATCTATTATCTTGAAATTAAAACTAAAATAAAAACTTCAAGAAAGATTTTTCATTTAAAAAACACATTTTAAACTTTAGGTATCGCGAATCTTTGGAGGTACCTACTTAAAAATATATATTTTATCATATATAAAGACATTTTTATGTTTACACATTCTTTTTTATAGATACAAATATTTAAGTAAATGCCCTGTTTTATAATAAACAGTATTAACAACATTTACCGGCCTGAATATCCGAGAAATTTTCATAGAAAATATGCGTCCTCCGACAGGAATCGAACCTGTATCCAATACGGAACTATCATATAGCCTGACGTGCTTTTACCGATTTTGCCACAGAGGAGCGTTTTGGTTAGCAAGGTCGATTTTACTGTTTTTAAACTACAAACTTGCTAACTGAAACGCTCCTTTCATAATATATATATATATGTATGCATATATACATGTGTGTATATATATATATATATATATATATATATATATATATATATATATATATATATATATATATATATATATATATATATATATATATATATATATATATATATGTATATATATATATATATATATATATATATATATATATATATATATATATGTAGTATTTGCTTCACCACACAATTCTCAATAAAAAGAAGATAATTATCAAAGCTTGACTATTTATCGAGACGTACAAGCCAAATTGGCCTTGGCTTCATTTTTTTTTTTTTTAATTGCTTGATTTCCCGTCTAACGAAGAAAAAAGGCCGAATGCAAAATTTTGGTAGCTAATCTTTTTCCTTCCGGTCAAGAACACGAAACATGAAATCTAATATCATTAATAATTGACCCTTGTTACAAGAGAGAAAAAACAAGATAGCTTAAATTGATAGCAAAACTATTATATATTATGTTGATACTAAATGTTCCTCTGCGCAATATTTTGTAGACAAATCTTAAAAGTGCCATTGAAGGTTACTCAGCTCACAGATGTTGAAAGACGAAGAAGAGGCTTGTGACGACTTCTTCTTCTTCTTCTTCTTCTTCTTCTTCTTCTTCTTCTTCTTCTTCTTCACGCAAGCCACCAATCTGCCACTGGTTGGCATGCCACTAGCGTTTACCGCTTGTGACCCGCATGTTCACCTCGGTAATGTTACCATCGATGGAACGTTAGAGGTCCACTGGTGGTTCGCTGGTGACTGTCACCAGAGGACAGTTGGCATTGCCATTGGCGGCTTGCGTGTTTTGTGCCGTGCACCTTCAGTATGTAGGTGATCATCGCTTTCCGTTATTTTTACTTAGCTCTTAGCAATGTTTGTCTTTTTACTACCCTCCCACTCTTCTTCTAGTATTGGTTTCTCACAGTTTGCCTCTGCCTCTCTTGCCTTAAATATATCCTGTGAGTATCAAATTTTCCAAGAACTTAAACTTGTGCCTTAGAAACTTAAACTATCTCTTTCTGATTCTAACTAGAAGTGTCATTTTTATTTCCTTTTCCTTAAAACTTTCTCGTTGTTTACTTGCTCTGTTCATTGTATTCTCAGCATCCTTCTGTAGAACTACATCTCTGTTGGGTTATTTCCTCTTCTTCTGAGAGAAAATTGTCTAGCATTCATTGCCATATTGGAGAATTTATAGTACATACCAGTTGAGAAGTCGTGTCTTTGTTTTTGATTAGATTTTCCTATTTCTTAATACTTTGCTTAGCTTTTGGAAGGAATTTTTGCCATTTTACTGCGCCTTCAGATTTTGGTGTCATATTTTCCGCTATCTGTTAAAACACTTCCCAGATATTTAAACTTCTACACTTGCTTGATTTTGACATCTCCAATTTATAGCGCGCATCTTGGTGTGTTTCTCTTGCTTAAAATCAAGTATTCAGAGCGAAGAAATATCGTGGAACAAGACGAAACTTGACATATATGAATTTGTGCTGAGTCCAGCACCAAATCAGTATTTCAATGGCCAAACATCAGAAAACTGCCACTGGGTCCAGAAGTTAAATTTTTAGCAGTATCCCATGGTCCTAACACTGAAACCACTTGGCTACAAAACTAATGTGAATTGCTAAAATATTAGCGACAACAATTCAGTAGATGATAGTAATAGGTAAAGAGATTGATATGAACAGACTGAGATAGATAGATAGATAGATAGATAGATAGATAGATAGATAGATAGATAGATGCTAACAAATGGAAACAGATAGATAGGCAGGTAGGTAGGTTTATCAATAAATCTGTAGTCTGATATAGCGTTATTAGGTTAATTTTGATTTGAAACTTTCATTGTATAATTTTTGCTATAGGTGATTAATATTCACCACTGAATTAAAACGACTTCCTTGGAAGAAGATGATGTTAAAAAAAATTATGGTGTAGAATAAATTAATTTTCCATGATTAGACTATAGAATTATCTATCTATCCAACTATCTATCCAACTTTTTATATCAATATATATATATATATATATATATATATATATATATATATATGTATGTATATATATATATATATATATATATATATATATATATATATATATATATATAT